GGCCAAAATGAGCGATTGAGGGAGAAGGGCCTTAGCCAGGGAGGTAACCAAGCACCCGATGGTCACTCTGAAAGAGCTCCAGCATTTTTCTGTAGAGAGAGGAGAACCTTCCAGAAGAACAACCATCTCTGCAGCACTCCACCAATCTGGCCTGTATGGTAGAGTGGCTAGATGGAAGCCACTCCCCAGTAGAAGGCAAATGGCAGCCCACCCGGAGTTTGCCAAAAGGCACCTGAGGGACTCTCAGACCATGTGAAACAAAACTCTCTGGTCTGATGAAGCAAAAGATTGAACTCTTTGGCCTGAATGCCAAGCATCATGTCTGGAGAAAACCAGGCACCGCTCACCACCTGGCCTATACCACCCCTACAGTGAAGCATGGTGGTGGCAGCATCATGCTGTGGGGATGTTTTTCAGCGACAGGAACTGGGAGACTAGTCAGGATCAAAGGAAAGATGAATGCAACAATGTACAGAGACATCCTTGATGAAAACCTGCTCCAGAGCGCTCTGGACCTTAGACTGGGGCAACGGTTCATCTTTCTACAGGACAACGACCCTAAGCACACAGTCCACATAACAAAGGAGTGGTTATGGGTCAACTATGTGAATGTCCTAGAGTGGCCCAGCCAGAGCCCAGACAGAACCCGATTGAATATCTCTGGAGAGATCTAAAAATGGCTGTGCACCGACGCTCCCCATCCAACCTGATGGAGCTTGAGAGGTACTGCAAAGAAGAATGGGAGAAATTGCCCAAAAATAGGTGAGCCAAGCTTGTAGCATCATACTCAAAACGACTTGAGGCTGTAAATGGTGCTAAAGGGGCTTCAACAAACTATTGAGCAAAGGCTGTGAATACTTATGTACATGTGGCTTTTTTATTTTTTTATTTTTAATAAATTGCAGAGATTTCAAAACAGACTTCTTTCACGCTGTCATGGGGTATTATTTGTAGAATGTTGAGGAAAAAAATGGATTTAATCCATTTTGAAATAGGGCTGTAACATAACAAAATGTGGCAAAAGTTAAGTGCTGTGAATACTTTCTGGATGCACTGTAAGTGTATACATATAAAGAGAAACTACAAGGAGATTTTAAACATATACACTGTATCTCTGTACTACACAATTATGTATTTATGATTGAATATACACTTTTTATGTGTATAAAAGTAAAGACACACACAGCAGGGCTTTCTTAAAATCTGACTTATCGCCAGTTTTATTTAAAAGGCTGCAAGCATCAAAAACAAAGCAGAAAATAACCCCTCGCCATCCAGGCACTAACTAAACATAGGAGATTCCCCTCTCAATGGTGAAGGGCTTCTCCCTGTCACCAAGAAAAATGAAAACAGTCTGCAAACCTTTTCCTTTCTTGTACAATGCAAACTTTCATCCACAACTCACTCAGATATGACTCTCTGAATCCCAGGCCAAGAACTCAGGGTTTTCCCAACAGCAGTACATTTCCCATCTTTACCACCCTTATCAGCATTTTTAGCCCACTACCCACTGTACTAGCCCACTACCAACTTGTGACTGGCACACATTAGTGCCATTGCTTTCTTTTTGAGAACCATGCACAGGTTTTATTTTAACCCTACTTCCCCATTGTATAAGGCACTGCACAGGTAAACGTCACTCTCAAAAGCACGTTCAGTGGTCCAACTAACTGAGGTCCAGGGACGGACTGACCATTTGGAAACTCGGGTACTGCCCGAGGGCCCGGGGTCAGTAGGCGGCCCCATGAGATGCCCCTGGTATCTTTTTCATAGGATTGTTTGAGCTTGAGCAAGGACACAGGGGCCCCATGATCCCCTATTGGCCAGGGGCCCCATGAGTTGTCAGTCTGCCCCTGCTGGGGTCACTCCTACATCAGAATGAACAGTCTCCTAACCAGTCCTTCTCAACATGACATTAGCAGTCCCAGCCATGGTTTGGTCACATACAGTCTCACCCACCACAGTAGTAGGTTTCGCCAACTTCATTTTAGTGCATCATCTCATGAACCAGTCCTCAGCTGCACTTTCCTTGGCAACTTTTCCCTTGCGGCCCCAAGGTGAAGTGACAGATGCCCTCATAGGCTCCATGGACTCTCTGGCTCCTCTCTGTTGCCAGAGGTGGTTGCCAACATTTTAAAACAAGAATCTGGGCTTGCAGATGAAGACATTTGCCCAGTAGCAGCGGTATTCCAGAGTCTGGGACAGGTAAAGATACCATGCCCCCACTGACCACATTCCAGGCATGGTACATAACCCTCTAGCCACACGGCTCTATCTCTTGCTTCAGCATCCTTTCTTTGCTTTGACCACCCCATCCTTGCAGTCATGCACACAGCAGTTTGTTACACAGTTCAGCAACACCATGGAACACTGTCTCTTTAAGGCAAGTTCCTTCTCTCTGGCAGGTTCTCCTCACCTACACACAATAATAGTGCAGACTTATGCACCAAACACAGTTCATATAAATGATGATCATCACAGGGATCTCCAATTCTGCTCACCGCATTCGCCACCATATGTGGGAACTAGCACCAAGGGTAGAGCTTCTGAAGCACACAGTCACTCACTTCCTTCTTTTTTAACCTCCCTAGCGGTATGATTATGTCAGTATTTCTGTGCTCAAAGCGGTACATTTTTTTGAATGGAAATATATTGTTTTTTTTTATTGTAGGCCTTTAATTCCTATTAATAACTTACTGAAATCTGTCCAAACAAGAGTCTAGTAAACATCCCGGGTAGGATAAAATTTGAAACACGAAATCATTAATTATAATATAATAAATAATCATAAAAAATAATATAATAATAATACATTTAATTCAATAATGTAATCAAACCAAAAACACTGAAATTTGAAATATAGCGCCAAGTTCGCACATCACTGAGCAAAGTCGCAAAATCGTTTTCAGTGTCTGATGACAAATTTCCCCCACGAATCATCATTACTCAATTCTGCAAGCAGTTATAATTTACTATCACTGTTCCCTAGCTGGTTTTAAACCGCTTTTGACCTAAAGGGACGCTTTTTGGACACCATGGACGTTTCTCAGTTTCCCGGCAGAAAGAACAGTAAAAATGCAGGCAGGACGCAGGACAAAGCACTCGGGACAAAATGTATGTGAAATGGTTTGATACAGGAATGTTATACTATGTGATTTTAGTGTATTAGTGAATGTCACTTTTTAAAATTTTTCCATTTCCCACCAGTTCCGACCCCCGTACGTCCCGACACTCACAGGGAACGGAACCCGGAAGACAGATGCCGGCATCGGCCAGAGGAGATGGCTGGGGACGCTGCAGGGGACACATCGCGGGAGCGAAGGACAAGGTGCAAGAGGGATCCTGGAGCAACGCTGCAGTGTAATCCTGAGTGTAGCTCGGGGTTACCGCTTTTGGCACTGATAATTAACCCCGAGGCTCACTTGGGAATACCGCCAGGGGGGTTAAGGCAAGTTCCTTTTCTCTGGCAGGTTCTCCTCACCTCCACACACCGATAGTGCAGACTTATGCACCAAACACAGTTCATATAACTGATGAGCTTACTTCATTTGCAGGGATATCCTGCTCACCGCATCCGACACCATATGTGGGAACTAGCACCAAGGTAGAGCTGCTGAAGCACACAGTCACTCACTTCCTTCTTTTTTAAAGGCCGTTTTTGCCCAATTTTATTTAAAAGAAAGTTCCATACAACATAGGTTTCCCATGCAGGGGTATCCACTATCAATGCAAATGAAAACAAACATTCAGCCTCTTGGCTCTCTTTAGCAGCACCGCTGCTCAGGCTTCATGCCTTGGTCCTCTTGACCCTTCACATACAAAACACTGCACCTGGGTTAGCACCCTTTCTCAGCACTCTCCTGCTTCTCCAACCCACAGGCTTGGGCCCTGTCTGCTATCAGACTTCTCTGTGGCACCATGCACACTTTTGGCTGCTCCCTTGCACCCACATGGACTCCTCGGGAGGGTGGAGACCAGATCCCTGGTCCTAACTCTATAAGAAGCCCACACACAGCTGACCGATCAGTCTCCTGGCCATTCCCAAAACCTGGTCCGAGGATTGGAGATTTCATCCCTCCAAAATCACTTTGAAATCTCCAGGCTCCAGGTCCCAAAATGGACTTTACAAACAAATGAGGAAAGTGAAAAGCCAATTTCCTTTGTATTAAACAAGTACCCCAGAGCCCCTCAACCTGCCTTGTTGAGAATCCTGGGTGAAATATCCTTTTTACACTGTGACAGGTTGCCACACTGTCACAACATATATATAAAAGAATATATTTGGGGGGGCCTATTTGTTTACAAATAGTACTAAAAGTGAAATACAAAAAAATTCAATATATTTATCAAGGATACCCCAAGACAGTATGGTGCATGGTATGCTAAGACACAGCCACACAATGTCCATGCTAATAATTATCATGTTGTCCATTTTAATTGCAAACCAACTGTACTACAAAATGATTTGTGTTCTTCAAATTTGATTTGTTTTTTTAAATAATGAAGTAATATTTTTGTGGTTTTTTTGCTTATTTATTAAGAAAGTGTTTTAATAAAAATATGTAACTAAATAAATAAATAAAAAATGATTATTAAGGATACTCCAAGACAGTATGGTGCATGATATGGTAAGATACAGTCACCCAATGTCAATTCTAAACATTATTATGTCACCACTGCCCCTGATAACATCTGCTGTGATGAAATGTATTGGGCGGGGTTAATGGATGTGATGTCACCACGCAAGCTTCTACCGAAAGTAGCACTAGACAGGACAGTTCTGTGGAGTGGATGCCATATGTACTTTTATTGGCCATATGTGAGTGTGCATTTTATTTTTTGATAAATTAGAATGTCTTAACCTCCCTGGCGGTATTCCCGAGTGTAGCTCGGGGTAAAGTTTCTGTACCAAAAGCGGTAACCCTGAGCTACACTCGGGCTTACCATGCGGCGCTGCATAGGGAGTCCCTCCAGCACTTACATTGTCCTTCGCTCCCACGATGTGTCCCCTGCAGCGTCCCCGGCCATCTCCTCCGGCTGATGCCGGCATCCGGCTTCTGTGTTCCGGTCCCTGTGACGTCGGGACGTATGGGCGCCGCCGGCGGTGGAAAATTTAAAAATTTTTTATAAAATGTCATTTTTTTCAAAACGAATTTTACATAGTAAAACATTGCTGTTTCAAACCATTTCACTTACATTTTGTCCCGAGTGCTTTGTCCTGTCCCCTGTCTGCATTTTGACTGTTCTTTCTGCCTGGAAACTTAGAAAAGTCCATGGCGTCCAAAAAGTGTCCCTGTAGGTCAAAATCGGTTTTAGACCGGCTAGAGAACAGCGATAGTAAATCAGAACCACTTGCAGAATTGAGTGATAATGATTCGTGGGGGAAATTCGGCATCAGACACTGAAAACGATTCTGCGACTTTGCTCAGTGATGTGCGAACTTGGCGCTATATTTCACATTTCGGTGTTTTTGGTTTGATTATATTATTGAATTAAATGTGTTATTATTATATTATTATTTTATATGATTATTTATTAAATTATAATTTATGATTTTGTGTTTCAAATTTTATCCTACCCGGGATGTTTACTAGACTCTTGTTCGGACAGATTTCAGTGAGTTATTCCTAAATATTACAGACTACAATAAAAAAACTACATATTTCCATGCAAAATAATGGTACCGCTTTCAGCACCAAAAATCTGAAATAATCAGACTGCTTGGGAGGTTAAAGTTATTACCCTATCCTGTCCAATATTCAGGCGGACCCGAAAGGACCTTACAATCTCCTATATGGGCAGTCCAAAGTAAACAGACTTGTGTCCGTTTACACCCGGCTACCTCTGATCCCATCAGATCCAGTAAAAACAAGAGGGATCTGTTCCCTACCGCCTGGTCGAATTGGATCTGAGGGCATTCAAGTGTAAACAGACAGCCAGACAGTATTTGAATTGAAATAAAAAAAATATCCAATATAATTATCAACGGTACCTCAAGACAGTATGGTGCATTGTATGCTAAGATATAGTTTCCCAATGTCATTGCTAAAAAATAATATGTTACCCATTTTCATGGTGGACCAACTGTACTACCAAAAGACTTGTATTCTTTAAATTTGATTCAGTTTTTAAATTCAAATATTTTTGGGGGGCCTCTGTGCTAATATTAAGTAGGGAATGTTGTTTAAATTGAGAAAAAATATGATTATCAAGGATACCCCAAGACAGTATGGTGCATGGTATACTGAGAATGTTCACCCAATGTCAATGCTAAAAATTATTATGTTTGTTTCTTCTGGACAATCCCTATGGTTAGCTGGTGAAACCACTGGCTGAGATTCCAAGCTCCCGGTGGGAAGGTAGAATCATTGGTTAAATATAAACTGTAGCTACAACCACTGCAACTTAAGGACGTCCTTGGATGTCCTTGGGTGGTAAGTGGTTAAAAACAAAATCAAAAATTATTATCAAGGATACATCAAAGACAGTAAAGTTCATGGTATGCTAAAATACAACCAATGTCACTGCTAATAAAATATTATGTTGCCCATTTTCATTGGAAACCAGCTGTACTACAAAATGACTCGTGTTCTTCAAATTTGATTCATTTTTTTTTATAATTAAGTAATATTTTTGTGGCTTTTGTGCTTATTTATTAAGAAATGGTGTTTTAAAATTCAAATTTGATATAATTTTTATATTTAAAGAATATTTTTGACACTTTTATGCTAATATTTATTACAGAACAATGTACCACAAGACAGTATGGTACATGGATACAGTCACCCAATGTCAGTGCTGAAAAATGATTATGTCATTCATTTTTGTGCAGACCAACTGTTCCACAAAATTACTTGTATTGCTCATATTTGATTCCGCTCTTATAATCAAACATTTTTTGGGGCTTTTATGCTAAAATTTATTAAGAAACGGTGTTCAAATTGAGAGTAAAAAAAAATTGGGTTTATTTATCCCACACCAAAAGACAGTATGGAGCATAATACACTAAGAAACATCTACCCAATGTCAGTGCCAAAAATTATTGCTTTTTTGAAAGTTCTTTTGATTAAATTTTAAAGTACTTTTATTGGCCATATGGCACGAAAAAAAAAAGAAAAAAAAAATAGTCGCATAAAAAAGTACAACATAGACAATATTAGACCTTGCTTAAAGCGGTAGTAAACTACGCTTTTGACCTTGTTCCTACAGGTAAGCCCAGGGCTTTTTTTTCTCAGGAATAGGTGCAGGAACTCCCCCTTATGAGACACCCCCCCTACCCACCTCCCAGTACTGCTCCTTTTAGGGAATATTGAACCAAGGATCATTTTGTGGTGCTAAGTAATTTGTATAGAATTTGTTTAATGATAACAGGAAAAGCAGTTATATAGATCCTCTGCAGCCAGGAACAATAGACCTCCCATCATCAATGGACTCCAGGCAGCACCAACAGATCTCCCAGCAGCCAGCATCAATAGACCCTCCAGCAGCCAGCAATAATAGACCCCCTCCCTCAACAGTAGATCCTTAACAGCAACTGTCAGGGCTCCAGGGTATGACCAGAGGTATGTGAACTGACACAGTGCAATACTAAAACATAACACAGTGCAAACGAACCAAACCAAACCACCCACAGATAACAGTACATACAATGCAAGCGTCGTCAGGCAGGCCGGGTCAATAACAATCGGGAAGGTAGGAACAGGAGGAGCAGGCAGAGAGTAGTCAGGTCATGAGCCGGGTACAGCAACTAACGGGCAGGTAGGTACAGGGGGTCAGGCAGAGAATGGTCGGGGTCACAAGCCAGGGATCAAACAGGAGAAGTCAGCAGAGGTCCGGATCAGGCAGGGTCGGCAACGAATCAGTCAGACAGGGACAGGAACAGGAACAGGGATGCAGGTAACAAGATACAGGGGCCCAGGAAAAACACACACCAAGGAACAGACTGCAGGTCTGTCCATCCCTTAAATACACCTGCATAATCAGCTTCAGGTGTTTGGCTGGCTGCAGGGTTGAGTCTCTGATTGCTGAGAGCACCCGCTGGCCAGCCCTGGTACTGCAGCCCACAAGGCAGGTGAGTCTCACCATTACTGGCAAGTCCATTCCTGACAGCAACAAATGACTCCCCAAAAACATAAGACCCCCTAGCAACAATAGATCCCTTCCAGCAACAATAGATCCCCTAGGAGTAAGCATCAATAGACCCTCCAGCACACCTTGCCATTACATACATTCAATGCTGGAGGTGCCGGAACTGCGTTCCCCCGTGTTCCTGCTGAAAAATCGCCCTGGGTAAGCATCTAATAATATTAAAGAAGAAAAAAAAAAGGAGAAGGAGACTCGCAATAAGGGTCTCCCACCTTGCCAATGGGATTTAATTGGTGCCACACCCCTTTATACCCAAACAGTGAAAGATACATAACCCTAACTAGAAAAACTAATGGGGCTTTAGAGGCACCATACCACACAATAGAATATTCAAAAAGGTAACAAAATAAAATTCAAGATAAAATTCAAACCACAGTTGTGGTGTTGAGGGTTTGAGCAGACAAAACATTCATTTTAAAAAGCACAATGTGCTAGTAACAAACACAATCAATATAAACCATTACAAGATATGGTCTTTGAACAGTATAAATGTCATGATAATTATGATGGTTAATACGTTGCTAGTTGCTCAGACGCGTTTCGTAGGGCAGAACCAGCTTCTTCAGGGACACAAAATATGTGGTTCTAGAATTATACAAAAATGACCAAAAAGGTAAAAATGAATATATAGCATATTTAGAGAGATAATAATAGATCTAACAAATGCTCAATCAGCATATTACCCATTGATGACATCATGGACTTTGTTGGAGGCCAGTGGAAAAACATGAACAATGGATCCCAAAAGAGGGGAAGAAAAGGATCAGTCAGGACTCGAAACGTGTTGGAGCAACTTTTTTGGAGATATTCACATTGGATGCAGCCGGTGATGTCACTGGAGCATACACTCTGAAGAGACGGCATACTCATGCTGCCCCTTCGGAGCTCTGTGCCTTGGCTGTGACTCCCATGTGTGGGAGTGACATAATTGTGGCTTGGCCAATTACGTGGCCGCAGCCTGAGATCCCAGAAAGAAAACCTGTTGAAAATGGAAGCTCTGTCAGCGGTGACAACATGCCGCTGGAGGGCTTCATTTTAAGGTAAGTATGCCATAATGTGCTAGTATGCTGTGCACATTATGGCTTAAACCACCTAGGGCCCATTTTTTATCTAAAGAAAGTTTACTACCACTTTAAGTGGTCTAACCTAAATGATAAACCCTTCCATCCCCCCAGGTCTGGGTCCCTGACACTCTGGGCCCACAGGAGGGTCATTCAACCCAGCAGACTGAGGACATCTAGTGGTGAAAATAAGTATTGCAGTGACAATCACTGCATTAAGGATGGGTAATGGAGCACACACTGCTCTTTTTTTTTACTGATATTGGGCTATTCATTTATTTATGTTTTTTTTTTTTTTTTCTGGAGTTCAGCTTTAAAGCAGTATAAAACCCAAACGCAGGAACAAATATTACATAGTAGCTTACCAATTCTTAAATGTGGTTTTAGCTTTCTTTTTTTTAGGCTTTTTTTTCATCTTTATTTTCACCTGGTGATCTGGCCAGTAAGTCTGTTTTTTTTTAGCTTCCTCAAATAGAACAAGCTGCTCAGCAAAAGTGGCAGTTTGAGGTTTGAGACAACCCATTTACCACTGAGAGGGGGGCTTTCAATGGTCAACTTCTATTCATTTGTATAAAAACCTTTATCCCAAAAGAAAAAAAAATCACTGTAACTGGTTAAAAATGTGTTAGCTGAAGTCTAGCTTTAATTTGTTAATTTATCTGAAACTGCTAGTCTGTCTAATATTACTCTCTCACAAGCTTGACAATGCTGCTGTCCAAGGATGGCTCCATTGCTTCTTTATCTAGAATAAAGACACCATGGGACAGGAAGTGTGTTTTGGTGTATAGGAAAAAAAAAACTAAAAAAAGAAAACTAATGCAGCCACTACATTTAAAAGTGTTACTAAGTCCCGGCACCTGCATTCACTATATCTGGTCTCCCCGGACCCTGCATTCACTATATCTGGTCTCCCCGGACCCTGCATTCACTATATTTGTTCTCCCCGGACCCTGCATTCACTATATCTGGTCTCCCCGGACCCTGCATTCACTATATCTGGTCTCCCACAGTACACAGAACATGGAATGCAATTATTTTAGAAAATATAAACTGCTAAATACCTTTTCTCATCAGCAGTTAGAGCAGTCTTGTGACTTCTATCAGTGTCCAGAAGAGCACTGGTTAATGCTTGTAGGAGGAAGTTTCATTCTGCTCTAG